GTTCTCAGAGAGAGAATGTTCATGGTTTCCTCTGTCCTTTTCATGAAAGGGTGGTGTGACCTTTGAGGACATTGCCGTGTACTTCTCCTGGAAGGAGTGGAGGCTTCTTGATGAGGCTCAGAGACGGCTCTACCACCATGTGATGCTGGAGAACTTTACACTTATATCCTCACTGGGTAAGGCCCTCAGCCTCCCCTTTGACCTGGACTAGACTCTGTACTCCCAAGTCCCCCTTCTACATTTTCCAGGGTAGGTTAGTCCTTCTCTCGTGTGGACTGTGGGCACTGCTTGCTTCCCCAGCTTTCTGGGTAGTTGCTTTTGTTGCTAGCTCTCAGTTGTTGGTGTGCCCTTTTCTCTGCCCTGCAGCTCCCAGTACCCTCTGTGCTGAGCCCTGATCGGGTGAGATTGGATGTCAGTAGTCATGCAGTGAGGCTGATGGATTGCACCTTGCTTGCCCTCTCCCTGGCTGGGTCCGTGTATCCAGATCCATGACTTTTCGATGGCCTAGGTCTTGACCATTCTCTTAGGTGACATTTCCTTGTGCCTTCCTGTGCCTGAAATTGGAGGCATTGGTATGGTCACCACTTTAGTGGACCGTGGGCTAGTTCTCAAAAATGTCCTGTATGGATCTTTTGGTTTTAGTTTTTAAAGATTTTATTCATTTATTTGTCAGAGAGAGAGCAAGAGAGAGCAGCAGGCAGAGGGAGAAGCAGGCTCCTCGCTGGGCGGGGAGCCCGAAGTGGGACTCAATCCCAGGACCCTGGGATCATGACCTGAGCCGGAGGCAGACGCTTAATTGACTGAGCCACCCAGGCGTCCCTGTATGGATCTTTTTGTAATGTTTACATCTCTTCTTCTGCCTGCCCCCCTCCTTCAGGTTTGTTAGGTATGATTGACAAATCAAATTATTATTATTGAAAGTATTACATAATGATTTCATGTACTTAAACATTATGAAATTAGTACCAAAATGAAGTTAATCAACAGAACCATTCTTGGCATAGTTACCTTTGTTGTTGGTGGTGGTGAGAAAGCTTAATATCTACCCTCTTAGCAAATTTCAGCTCTACAAAATGCAGTATTAACTGTAGTCAACATGCTGTAATAGTTCCTCAGAACTCAATCATCATGTAAATGAAAGTGTGTATCCCTGACCACCATCTGCCTGCCTCTTCATGTGCACAGGCACTCTCTCAGTCTCTCTCTCACAAATAAATAAGTCTTTAAAATAAAAAAAAGGATATCCATGTAAATAATGCCATACAGTATTTGTCTTTTCTGTGTGATGATTTCGCTTAGCATAATGTTTTCCAAGTTCCTCCATGTTGTGGCAAGTGGCAGTGTTGCCTTTTTATGACTGAGTTTTCATGCATGTGCGTGTTTACTGGATGTTCTTTTTTTTATTTATAAATAAAAATATATTTGATATATTTATTTATTTGTTAGAGCACGCACAAGCAGGGGGATTGACAGGCAGAGGGAGAAGCAGGATCCCCGCTGAGCAAGGAGCCCCATGTGGGGCTAGGTCCCAGGACCCTAGGATTATGACCTTAGCCGAAGGCAGATGCTTAACCGACTGAGCCACCCAGGCGTCCCGTGTTTCCAAAATGTTCTTTGTCACCTTACTATTTTGCTTAAGAGTTAAAAAAACTTTTTTCTAGTGATCTCTACACCCCGTGTGGGGCTGGAGCTCAGGACTCCTGTGATCAAGTGTTGCATGCTCTACCTACTGAGCCTGCCAGCACCCCCCCTCCCCCCACCCCGCCCTGCCCCAGATGTTCTTTGTAACTCTAAACCCTGACACACACTTAAAGAGGTTGCTATATTTTGGCTATTGTGAACAGTACTGCAGTGGACAGGGACGTGAGGATAGTTTGCGGAGATACTGATTTTGTTGCGTTGGGATACACACATAGTGGTATTGGCAATGGTGGAACATATGGTCGTCTGTTTTTAACTTTTTGTGTGCCCTCCCTAATGTGTTCCATCATGACTTCCGAAATTGATATGCCCAGCAACAGTATTCAGGGGTTCGCTTTTCTCCACATCCTCACCAACCTGTCTTGTCTTTTTGGTAATAGCCATTGTAAGAACTACGAGGTGATGTGATACCTAGTGGTGTTGGTTTTCATTTCTGTGATGATCAGGGATTGTGAGCTCGAGTTGGGCACTTGAACGTCTCCTTTTCCGTCTTTTGTGTGTTTCTTTGGCTCTGCTGCAACTTTTCCATTTGGTGTAGTCCTACTTATTGGCTTTTGCTTTCGTTATATATGCTGTGGGTGTCTTATTCAAAAAATCATTGCCAGGAGTAGGGTTAAAGAGGCTTTTCCTGGGCGCCTGGGTGGCTCAGTTGGTTAAGTGACTGCCTTCGGCTCAGGTCATGATCCTGGAGTCCCGGGATCAAGTCCCACATCGGGCTCCCTGCTCAGCAGGGGTCTGCTTCTCCCTCTGACCCTTTTCCCTCTCGTGCTCTTTGTCTCTCATTCTCTCTCTCTCAAATAAATAAATAAAATCTTTAAAAAAAAAAAGAGGCTTTTCCTTCTGTTTTTGCTGGGAGTTTTAGGGTTTCAGGGCATAAGTTTCTGTCTTTAATCAATTACACGTACGTTTCAAGGATGTTGTAAGATGGGGATCCACTCTTATTGTTTATTCATTTGGATACTCCGATTTCGCAGCAGTAGTAGAAAGAGATTATTTCTTCCCCAGTGTCGTTTCTTGGCATAATTGTCAAAGAGTAGTTGACTGTGTATGTGTGGCTGTCCTTATGGGCTTTTCCTTCCATTCCGTTGTTCTGTTTTTATGCCAGTACCCAATTGTTTTGAATTGTCTAGCTTTGTGATCTAGTTTGAAATCAGAAATGTGCTGCTTAAAGATTTGATCTTCTTTCTGAAGATGGCTTTGGCTTTAGGCTTTGGTTGACTTGGTGGCAAATGTTCCTGTGTCCTCCGAGGAGCAGGAAGCTGGAGGCTCTGCTGAGCAGGGACTGCATTCACACCCACCCTGTGGCAGATGGAGGTAGCCCCAGGCCTTATTTCGCACCCATCCCCACATGTCTCTGCTAATAACAGTCTCCAGCCGGCTTTTCTGTGTGCTTGTGCCCTCTTTTATGCTCCACTGTGTACTAGTCCGTCTTAATTGGACGGTTGAGCCCTCGCAGGCTAATGTCATTCATGGACAGCTGTTGCGTTGATTTTTCTTGGGGTTAAGGATGGTATCTCCCATTCTACCTTCCTGCTGATAACAGTTCCATAGGACATTTTTCTGTGTCCATCGTGTCCTGGGTAGCTCTAGGACAGTGCTGGCGGTCGACTTGGCCTGTTTTCCTACAGCATTTCTATCTTACTGGTATCCTGTAGTTGCTCAGCTGCGGCTTACAGGGAGGAGTGCCTTGTGTATCAAAGCATGGACATGCTCCAGACATGAGCAGGTGGCGTCATAGGGAGCCTGTTTCTCATGAATGTTAGCTGGCAGTGGTGTGATATCAGGCCTGTGTTTGATCATACTGGGCAGTATGTTTGTTTGTTCAGCCAGAGTTTGGTGCCATTGCCGATGGCCACACCCCGTTTCTGTCTTTCCTTCCTCGTTGTTGACTTTTTTTTGTCAAATGGATTCTACTCCTTTGGTAATTCCGTGAATTCCAGTACAGGGATAATCCCTACATCTCAGGTGTCCACATCTCACCCATTTCTGTCACTGCTCTTTCTGTGTACCTCAACATTCACCCCCAAACATTTTGAAATGAGATATTCACGTGTCCTTAAGCTGACCTTGACTGCAGTCAATTTCGTGTGATTGGATTATGCTGCCGCCGTCTATTCAGCCAAACACCAGCAGCACAAACGGTCCTACACAAACCTTTGTGTAGGCAGAAAACAAGTTGTAGACCGTGGCTCTCTTCCTTGTGTCATACCCTAGTTTTTTGTCCTTGTGGTGTGCTCTCCATAATACTTTGACCACTCGGGCCCAGTAATGCACGTCGGCCACTCCTTCAGTTGAATTTCATCTCCTGTGTTTGGAAAAGCATGCTATACGGTCCTGCCTAGATGAGTCGGGTGCATGTATGTGATGGCTCACCCCCTCGCTATAGTCAACACAAATTTCACCAGCGCTTCTTTGCCTTCAGGTTGTTGCTGTGGAGCAGAGGATGAGGAGGCACCCTTTGCCCAGAGCACTTCTGTAGGCGTGTCACAGACCAGGACGCCCAAGGCAGCTCAGTCTTCCCGGAAGACCCACCCCTGTGAGATGTGTGGTCCAGTCTTGAGAGGCATTTTCCACTTGGCTGCGCACCAGGGAAAAGAAAACAGCCAGAAACTGTTGAGGTGTGGGGCCTGTGGGAAACGATTTTATTTCATTACTGACTTCAGAAAACATGAGAAACAGCACATGGGAGAGAAACCCTTCAGAAGCCGTGTGGACAGGGCCTCTGTTGTGAAGAGCTGGGGATTCCATGGTGCAGGAAAGCCCCTTACCTGTGGAGAGGTTCAGAAGGACTTCCTGTCTGGCTCGGGGCATCTGCAGCAAGAGGCCACTCGTACTGGGGAGAAGCCACACACGATCACCCAGTGCAGGGCAACTTTACAAAGCAGAAAAAGTCATGACACCTGGGGAGAAAGCAAGAACGCCTTTGGTCCCAAACACACACATATTCAGGACCAGGGTGTCCGCCTTGGAAGACAGTCCTTTGTGTGCAGTGAATGCGGGAAAGCATTCAGGTACAAATCTTTATTTGCCATACACCAGAGATACCATACTGGAAAAACATACGAGTTTGGTCAATGTGGAAAATCCCTTAGGCAGACACCAACCCTGAATGAACATGGAAAGACTCACAGCGCATCCAGACAGTACACGTGCAGCAAATGTGGGAAATCCTTAGGCCGTAAATCTGTCCTCATTGATCCCCAGGGATGGCACAGTGGGGTGAAGAGTTATGTTTGCAGTGGATGTGCAAAAGCTGTTAGCTGTAGCTCAGTGTTGATGACTCATAGGGTTGAGTCTGGAGAAGGGTTTTATAAGTGTCGTGGCTGTGCAAAATCTTTTCCCTCTATGTCTGCCCTCTCACATCATCAGAGATCTCATGCAGGGAAAAGACGGTATGAGTGCAGTGATTGTGGGAAATCTTTTACCAGTAGTTCTGCCCTCCGTTCTCACCAGATAGTTCACACTGGTCAAAAGCCTTATAAATGCAGTGCATGTGGGAAATCTTTTGTTCGTAATTCTTCCCTACGTTATCACCAGGCAATTCATAGTGGAGAAAGGCCGTTTGAGTGTAACGAATGTGGCAAATCTTTTATGAGTAGTAATGGCCTCCGATATCACCATAATGTTCACAACGGAGTGAAGCCTTATAAGTGCCATGAATGTGGCAAATCTTTTATGAGTAGTTCTTGCCTTCGTTGTCATCAGACCATTCACACTGGAGAAAAGCCTTATAAGTGTGACGAGTGTGGGAAATTCCTTGCTAGTAGTTATTCCCTTCGTTCCCACCAGAGACTTCATACTGGAGAAAGGCCTTATGTGTGTATTGAATGTGGGAAATCCTTTCTCCATAAAGTTACCCTTAGTAAACACATAAAGCTTCACTCAGGTGAACGGCCTTATGAGTGTAATGAATGTGGGAAATCTTTCACTACTAGATATACCCTCCGTTATCACCAGCGAATTCATACTGGACAAAAGCCTTATCAGTGCATTGAATGTGGGAAATCTTGTACTACTAGTTCTGATCTCCGTAGTCACCAGAGAGTTCACACTGGAGAAAGGCCTTATGAGTGCAGTGAATGTGGGAAATCTTTTACTCGTAATTCTGCCTTCCGTTATCACCGGAGACTTCACACTGGAGAAAGGCCTTATGAGTGCTGTGAATGTGGGAAATCTTATACTAGTAGTGCTGCCCTCCGTTCACACCAGAGTGTTCACACTGGACAAAAGCCTTATGAATGCTGTGAATGTGGGAAATCTTTTACCACTAGTTCTGCCCTCCGTTATCACCAGAGATTTCACACTGGACAAAAGCCTTATAAGTGCAGCGAATGTGGCAAATCTTTTACCACTAATAAACAGCTCCGTGTTCACCAGGTAGTTCACAGTGGAGAGAGGCCTTATGAATGCCCTGAATGTAGCAAATCCTTTTCACGAAAACATACACTCAATACACACAAAAAGCTTCACTCAGGTGAACGGCCTTATGAGTGTAATGAATGTGGGAAATCATTTACTGTTAGTTCTACCCTCCGTTTGCACCAGAGAGTTCATACTGGAGAAAGGCCTTATGCATGTAATGAATGTGGGAAATCTTTTACTGGTAGTTCAGCCCTCCGTTCGCACCAGAGTGTTCACACTGGAGAAAGGCCTTATGAGTGCCGTGAATGTGGGAAATCTTTTATCAGTCATAATGGTTTTAGATACCATTGTAGTCTTCACACTGCAGGAAGGATTTAGAATAGCACAGAAGGTGATACTTCCTTGCTTAGTATAGTTTAGGCTGGAGGACAACCTCTGAGGCAGCCACCTACCTGACTCGAACGTGGTTCACCTGAATGTCCACCGTGGAGTGACTTCCCATAAGTTCCAGCTATTTTCAGAAAAACTCAGAACCTGCATTGTGCTCTCTGGTGTGCATGCAAGTCATTGCAAGATGGAAGTCCCCGTCAGTGTCTGTGGCAGATGTCCTTTCACCTCTGCCACCTGGCGGTTCCCAATAGTGTGCATAAGTCACCACCCCAACATGGTTAATGATGCCGACCTGTCTGCTTTCTCGTTTGTGCATCTAAATTATGGGTAATTGGAACTCCTCATTTCGTTCTAAGTTAGGGCATGGATGTGACCCAGTGTTGGTCCACAGTGGGTGATCTGAGTTCTGGGTGGTGACTTGCACAGGAAGACTAAATCCCATGGAGATGTTGTTGGTCTCATGATGCTTTGATGACTGTTTGCAGCTCCCAGGTCACCACACAGGAATTGTGTGCTACGTGTTGCTCTGGTTGATGCATTAGTAAACGCCATCTTGGTTTAGTTACCTTTTATCTTGTATGTTGTGTGCACTCTAGGGGGTGGTTTGAAAGTAGGATTGGGCTCTCCCAACATGAGGGAACGAGTAGATTGAGCATCCCAGACTTGCTGTGTCTGAGAGGATAATTGCAAATAAATAAAAAATACGGACATATATACATAAATAATCCAGCTTCTGTGTAAATTTGCAGTATAACCCAAGACCTTTGTGATGGGCTGATTTGTACCCCAAATCCATATTTTGAAGTTTTAACCCCCAGTCCCTCACAATGTTAACAGTAGTTAGGTATAGCATCTTTAAAGCGATCATGAAGTTGAAATGCGTTATTAGGATGGACTCATGTAGAATGGCTGGCACCGTGATAGGGAGACGAGGATACAGGCACACACAGATCACCATGTAAAGACAGGGAATCCCCATCTACAAGCCAAGGAGAGAGGCCTCAGAAGAAACTAACCCTGCTGACACCTTATGTTTGATGTTGAGACTCCAGGTTTGGGGGGAAATAAATTTGTTGTCTGATCACCCTGTGTATGTTATTGTGTTATGGCAGTTCTAGCTAATACAGCCTCCCAGGATCCACACCTGGGTTTTGTGGTCTGGATGCTAGCAAGTTTTGTGTGCTCAGAGGTCACCATGAAGAGGGAGCAGTTGAGACCATTCCAGTGCTGTGGAAACAACAGGAATATTTTGCTTCTCCACAGCTGATAGCACAGGATGCCAGGCGCTGTTGAGTGGAATCTCTACCCCAGATCCTTCAACGGAGCCTTGTGACCTGGTGTACAGTATTCACTTGTAACACCACAGGGGCAGGGCAACTGTAATTTGTAATCTAGATGACTGGGTAATTAGGTACTTAGAGGACACATCAGGCCCCTGATGGAGTGTATGTCTTTTTTTTTTTTTTTTTAAAGATTTTATTTATTAGAGAGAGAGAATGAGAGAGAGAGAGCACATGAGAGGGGGGAGGGTCAGAAGGAGAAGCAGATTCCATGCCGAGCAGGGAGCCCGATGTGGGACTCGATCCCAGGACTCCAGGATCATGACCTGAGGCGAAGGCAGTCGCTTAACCAACTGAGCCACCCAGGCACCCTGGAGTGTATGTCTTATAAAAGTATATCCACAGATGGTGTAGTGACTGGCTGGGCAGGATCAGTGTTCACAAATTCTTCACTTTCAGACATACATCCTGTGTAACAGGTCATTATAAAATAATCCAAAGGCCCCTGAATTCTGATTTGCTCTCTGGTGCTTACATGTCAAGGCCATTGTGTTGCAGGCAGGAAAAAGGTAAAGACAAGGGAGAATTCATCCTCCAGGGATATAGCTTTTGTGAGCCTGTCCAGCCAGTATGCTTGTTGGTATCCTAAAGGACTATGGCAGACACCTGTTCTGAAACATCCTCTTCCCAGGGTGTCTCCCAGGTACTCCCCAGCCTCTAGGGCTAAAAAGGCAGAAATTTTTGGAGGTGGTGGTGAGGAGTCCTACTCCCATTAATGGTTGCTAAAGATTTGTTTCTGTCCCAAAGTCCTTGAGTAAACCATTTCTCCTCTAGGTGGACTTCTCAGCCTTTTTCTTTGGCCTGAAGGCTTGGAGGTCGTTTTGCAAGTATGTCCCTTTCCATCAACAATACTGTTTTCTTCTCTGGATGTGTACCACTGTTGATCTCTTCATCTGTTTGGAGCATGTGGGTTATTTCCAGTGTTTCCCTTTCACAAACAAATCTCTCTATATAATTTTCATTATAATTCCTTATGCGGATAGCAGTTTCATTTCTCTTCTGGTAAATCTCAAAGCACAATGACTAGGCACAGGCAGGTGAGTGTTAACATTGTCATGAAAGGGCCAAACAGGGTCTGAAGGGTTCACTACTGCATTCCCACCAGGTATGAATGAGAGCTCCAGTATATTCATCCCTGCCAGTACTTGAGAGGGTCAGTCTTCAATGTCAGCCCTTTTAATACGTGTCTAGTGGTATGTTGTAATTGCATTTCCTAGAGACTTCTGCCTTTCAGCATTGTTTCATGTGTTTCTTTACCACCTGTATGTCTTCTTTGGTACAATTTCTGTTTACGTCATTGCCTATTTTCTTTCATATGAGTTATCACTAGTTCCTTTTTATTTACAAATAAGACCTGTATAACAACTTTGGAATTTTCCTCATTTGCACATCGTGTGATATTTTTCTCGATGGAGTCTTAGCAATCCTGGAAGGCTATTTCCTAATTTTTCCTGAGATTTTTTGTGTCCTGCACAATGTCATGGACCAAAATACCTTACACGTTTAAGTCTAGGGTGCATTCCTACCATTATGGAATGCCTTTGTAAAGTCCAGGCATTCAGAAATACAGAACTGCATCCCCGCTTTGTAGTGCTTGCCAAATTCCAAAGTATAAATTCTCCCATTATGAGAGCGGGGTATGCTCAAAGAAGGTGCTGAAACACTACTTGGGTGTTTGGGGCGAAAACTTGGGCATGTGCAGGCAGGACACTTCACAACACTTAGCAGACAGCAGCTGTGGGGGCTGTGAGCTGGCTGGAGGTCTGCAGGAGCCTCACAGGCAGGAGACTTTAATCCTGACAGGCCAGAGGGGAGGGATGTCCCTGAACACCCTGACTGGTGACTGAAAATCTGGCTGGTCTCACGTTAGTAGTGACAAGGTTGTCGTGTACACCCACTCAGGTCAGAGTTGCTTCCTCTGAACCCACCCAGTACATTGTATGGACTTTCCTGCTCAAGTGATTACCTCCACATGATTTAATTCGTTCTCTTTGTGTTAAGAGTCGACTACTGGTCCGCAAAGGAGTCTACATTCCGTGCAGCACACCACAGCTGTGAGCTGTGTTTCCAGACAGCTGACAGGAGAAGGCTAGGGCCACTTCTGGCGGCTGCCTGCCTTGAAGGACTGGGAGCCAGGTGGAGCAAGGCCTTACCCAGAAGACTGGGGTCAGTGCTGGCCTTCCTCTCCACTGGAAGGACAGGAGTCGAGGTGGAGTAGGGCTTCTACCAGAAGGAAAAGGGTCCCCAGGTCAGGCAGGTTAGTGTTGGAATCTGCTAGGACTGTTTTGCCTTGTACCCAGGTGAGATCATGGTCTCATCTGGGAGGTTCAGCCAAGAAGAGGCCTGCAGAGGGACCATGATGCTGGGTGGGAGGGCAAGTGTGGTGCAGGGATGGGAGCACCTGCAGGAAGCTGACACACGTGGAGGCGATTCAGGAAGGTTCCTCCGTGCTGCATCCCTTAACTTCTTCTGGAGCTGATGTTCCCATGTTTGGAACCCGAAGGTAAGGCCCTGCCCAGAGCTGCGGCCATTCTAGACCAGGTATGAGACAGAACAGTCCAGAGGTGAGTCCTCGATTCCTCCCACATGCACCAACAGGACTGCTGGCGCCTTCTGGTACTGATGAGGCATAGAAGGCTGGACTAAACTCAGATTAGGTTGTCCACGATTATCTTTAGAGGAAAAGACCTCAACAAATTATGGTTGTTCAACAAACAGGACTTTGTTGTAGTGTTGGGGCATGGGGGTGAAAGAGCGCCTAGCCTGGGGGTCCCAAACAGACTAGGTTTGGCCACTCCCTGGTGACAAAATCCAAAGTCAGAGAAAGCAGTGGTGGTAAACAAGAAAGGAATCTCAGGGAGCCCAACACAGAGAAGACCATGGCCGAACCTCTCAATGATGGTCTCCAAAGGGCTGAGAAACACTTCCAGGTTTATGGAAGGAAAACGTGGGGCCAAGGTGGATGGGTACATGCAGGTAGGCAGTGAAAGTCCAATAGATCATAGTCCTGGAGTCAGTCATGGGTGGGGACTTGCTGGCTCAGGGCAATCCTTAGTGCTCGAGGGGGTAGTTTTGGATGCCTTGCCAGCAGGGTCTTCCATCTGAGTCTAGAGACAAGCTGGAAAGAAGAACCCGACTAGAAAGTTTGAGGTCAAAATGGGGGCAGCCAAGGTCTTCTTTCAGTTCTAAGAAAAACGGTATGTATGGGTAAAGCCAACTCAGGCCCTCGGGTGACCTAGTAATCTTAAGGTTAAACAAGTACCCTTAGCCTACATGACTGATTTACTTTTCTGTTTATCTATAGACCATGCATTCTCTCCTAGAAAGAGCTGGGAACTTCTGAATGCCACAAAGCAAAACAGACCCTCTTGTACAAACCCCAGGTTCTAAGGAACCAGACCCCCTTGTACAACCTCCCAGCACCGTGACAATATCTATAGCTAGCACATCGAGTCTGCATGTAGTCAAGAAGTGTTAAAGACTGCTGTTATCCCTTTACTGGTTAGCTGCCCTAAACTCCTTTAAAAACCCCTGGGTGAGGCAGAAACCTTGGAGGTGGCCTTTGTACAAGAGTCCACCTTCTCCGCAGGTGGCCAGCCTTCCAAATAAAGCTCATTTTCCTTTCCAGTCAATACTTCTCTGTTGAGTATTGACTTTTGGAGTGCTAGGCAACCGAAATTGGGATTTGGTAAAACATTTGAACACAGACACAGAGCAATCCATCCATTTGCCAAAGCAATTCTAAAAGGATATCATGGGGCGTCTGGGTGGCTCTGTTGGTTACACGTTTGCTTTTGGCTCAGGTCATGATCTCAGGGTCCTGGGATCAAGCCCCACGTCTGGCTCCCTGCTCA